TCTCAAATATGCAAACATAAATCCATGGTATCAAGCCCCTTTCATATCCATTCTTCGCCTACTTATCGGAGCAATGCACTCTCTTCCATAATTCCATATTTCGTTATTCGAAAGAATATGCGAATTAAATTTAACTTCAACTTAAACGATTTTCTTTTAGTTGCTAGCAATTTGACAGTACAAATTTTGATGCCTTTATTACTTATTTTATTATGCAGTTTTTACTGCTTGGAAATCAGTTTTAGTTGCTGCATTTGCTGCATTTGCTGCAGTGCTACGACTACACTTTCTACTGAATAAATGCTGATGCTTTGCTCAGCTCTTCGATGCTTTTGCATTATTCACGTTGAAATTTATTTCGTTTGCTATTTTCACCTCTTAAGGATTTATTTTTTAAAATTTTCTCATAGCTGATGTAATCGAAAAGTTGCAGCGTGTATATCAGATTTGACTTTACGTATTGCAACAACTTGTCTGCATGCCTGTCTCCGGTTTTACAGAAAACATATTTGGAAGTTTGGCATGATGCAGATATGCATGCAGTGTACAGTTGACAGCACGTGTTCATATTGCGAAAGTGCACTCAAGTTGCTCATGTATTTTAAATAAGACAGCAAAGATGTTGCATTGAAGTTGAAGTGAATTGATTGTTGTTTGTGAAGCCAAGAGCAGAACAGCAGAATTGCAGAAGCAGCAAAGCATGACTGAGAATTGCAAAATTCGTTCGTTTACTGCTAAAAATTGTAGCTTAAATATTCAGACTCTTTATAGGCAAAAAAAAGGATTTAAGTTTCTTGAGATATCTTTTTTTGTGTGGATATAGTCGTCTGTTTATTTGTTATTTATATAAGAGGAAATTGCTTTCATTCAATCTCGATTGATTATGTTTTTTTGAAAGATTTAAATATGGATTGAGCTTTCAGTTACTCTTAGGTCAATGAGGGAGGCTTTTAAATTATGCACTTAAATATGCAATACAAAATAATTTCCTTATTTTAAACTAATTGACATACTTATCTTTAAGAACTAGAAGGAACTAATAAAAAAGTTTATTTTAAACTAAAAATATCGAAAAATTAGAACAAAAACATTTGCGGATGTTTACAGTGACTGTAAAACTTATATATGCAATTATATTTTTTTTTTGACCCTGTAAATATGCTTTAAATTTTGCAAGTGAATTCTTTCGATATTAAACTACTAGAGAAGAAAAAAGAGACTGAGCAGGAGAAATATATTTAGTTTATAGTTATTTTCGATTTTCTTTATATCCAAAAATTTTTTCTTCGAGCTTAAATCACTCGCCACAGTCGAAATGTTATGGTTTGTAGAATATTTGCCTAATGAATTTTTTACGCATAATAATAACTTAATTTTATTTACTTTACATTTAACAAAACTGCCGAAAGTAACAAAAAGTTATAATATGAAATTTAATTTTATTAACCCACTTGATGAGCTGAGGGCAGAACTTCACTTGTATGCTCCGGCAAAAGAGTTTGTGCTTTGTTATTGCTTCTGTCCTTTTTTTTGCTTTTTCCTTTTAGTTACTTTTACGCGTCTTTATATTTTGTTAAGGTACTTTAGTTTTTTAATTTCATGCCAAAAATAAGCACTGCAAAACCGAGAAAAAAATATCCGCAACAATTTCAATGAAACTTTTAATGATGATGCTGATGACTAGCATAATAATGCAACAAGCAGCATTTACTGCCGCACGGCTGCACTGTTAAGGTTCTGAGCTTGCCAACACTTAATGCAACAAAAACATTGTAAACTTTTGCTTAATACCAGATCTTTAATTATAAAAAATACTCCGTACTCCGAAACTTTAATTGAAAAAAAACCAGCAGTTTATATAAGTTTTTAGCTGATTTTTATGCTGATGAAAAATATTTGCAATGTAACGCAGTTTAGTGGCGAAGTATGTCGAGTTTTTTTAATGCCACAAAGTTTAATGAATACAGAAAATGCTTTCTAAAGTTTATGGAGCTTAAGTGCAGAAAATTTAATTCCATTTCTATGTTTATTTTACGATTTTACTGCAACTTTAATCAGTTACTAACATTGAACTCGGTATAATCTGTCTGAACTTTATCAAGATCTGTGAAATTAAGTTGTTGCGATGAATGAATTAAAAAAAGCAATGAGTTTTACTATAGTTTGTAATTAAATTCTTCAATAACTTCATATCATTTAATTTTGAAACATAATTTCTAATTAATTTTTAGCTAGAAAATAAAAAAATAGGGAAATATTCCTGAAGATGACTATCGAAGATCGTCGAAATATCGGAAAAATATTTTATAAAATATGAATTGTTTTTAAACATAAATAATAAATTATAGTATTTTTATTACTATTAGATTAGCCCACTAGTAAATTATTATAGAATACAAATCGAAAAATAGCATGAAAAATGTAGATACTAGTCTATGTCATGGAGGTTATTAAGGCTTAGTTAGCCCTTAAGAAAAGTTGTGGTGCTTTATTTTGAATATAAGCTGGCATACTAAAGGCATTTTATTCAAATCTTTCATATATATTTTAATTTCGTACGGTGTAATTTCTTAGACGCACCATTGTAGGATATAGAGCAGATATTTCAGAAACTGGGTCCCTCGAATAAACACACGTATTCTAAAAAATGTTGGGCAATTATAAAGACGATAAGTAACATTCTAATCTACAACTTCAAATTGTAGTTGTTGAACGAAGCTAATATCTGGTACACGATTCTTCATACTACTATAATATGCTGGTAGTAGAGCAATTGTTATGGACAATGAGGAGCTATCATAACCAATCTGCTGCACTATTTAGTTGTGATTAAAGTTCGGAAGTATTATATATTTTAAGTAATTTGTCATCAGTGTTTTTCATACCAACTTTGTTTTTGCATTTTAACATATTCTTAAATCGTGTTTAATTGTGTATCTTCAACATCTGATAATTGCCAGGAATATCGCTGTTCCTAAAATACGTTACGAGGCAACCAACAAATGCATCAGTATAGCATTGAAAGAAAAAAATGTCATATACCTCATATATACCTCTACTCTAAAACTATCTACTTACGATGGACTAGCATTTTTCACACGCAGACCAGAATGTTCTCAAAAAAAACATCAGTGGTCAATGAACAGCGTGGAACCGTGCTTTCCTCTCCATTCACATTCAGTATTGGATATGCGCTCCGGTCACCATATTCTCAGTATTCTTCTTCAGCATTTGTTTATAAATACTGGAATGTACAGTTGAATAGGAGCCGTAATAAAACGTTGATTTGGTTTTACTCAGTCGAGCCGAGATGTCTTCCGCATCATCTTTATCTGTGATGATGCTGCTCAAATATGTAAATGATTTTGCTTCATTGCCAATTCTGATGGATGGAGGATCCTGGATAGTGTAACCGCTGTACATGACTTTTTTTTTATGGTTTATGTACAGGTCAGCATTGGTCGTACAGGAACAAAGTATGTCAATTTTGTTGTGTAACTCAAAACTTTTGTAACTCAATATCGCCTAATTTGCTACAGGTTGTCCATATTGAGGCATGCTTGTGTCTGCAATATTGTTTAGTTTTTTGTTATTAAAAATTTTAAAAACTGCTTGCATTTTCAACGATTGTCTTATAGTTTATCATATTTCATGATGTATTAACTTCATGTACTCAAAATCTGACTCATGTGGGACAAGACTGTAAGCCTGTTTACAAGACTGCATGCTTATAATTGTAATGTTTACCTTCTGCTCAAAAAGTATGCGGATTTTGTTA